TCATAGTTTCCCAGTACGAACGAAACCTCCATTTAAAATCACATGGTGCACTTATATCAAGCACTTGAGGTACAACTGAATATTTAAATTCGGACGAATGCGAGTATCGTAAGTTGGAATGTAGTGGTGAAGCGCAACTGGGTCCTCTAGATATCTTGATGTTGCACGAAAAAACATTCCTCTGTAGATGAGAACTAGAGAGAAGCTGAAGCAAAATAGCTCGCTGAAACGTTAACCAAAGAAAACAGTCTATATTGTCGCTATCTTTCGCTGCTGAAAATTTCCTGCAGCGGAAGTTATCGTTACCAATTCCCGCTATGCAAAAATAGTGGCGAGTTACCAAGCTACCGAAAAAATAGCTCTGCTGGTAGCGGAATAGCGGATAACGCATTACTGTCAAGCACTGATCCAATTTTTCATCGATGTTTTTCGTGCGGATTGCAGGAATTGCTGCTCATTCAGTGCAAATTATTTATGCGAATCAAATGTAAAGAATTACTGTCCACCGATCAAAGCCTGCAAAAACGGAGGTAACTTCTTCTTGGTATTGAATCAGAAAAACTTCTCTCTCTAACAAATATCTGATCACATTGGCCAACCATTCAAAAGTTTGTTTTCGTCAGTGACGTTTGTATCACTCTCGATGTGCCTTACCATCGATCAGGACCTCGAATCAGTAACCCGAAATTTCTTTGAAAAACTTCCCCGTCGAGTGTTCCTCATTGCCTCCAATCAACGTCTCATTAAATGAGTATTGATCGAATTCGTAGCCATATTCAGAGCCAAACAGCCATACCGAATCCAAAAATTCAGTCCAGAATTCTCAGATGTCTCGATTAAAATTATTTGAGGGTATCACTGTATTATTTGAGGGTATCACTGCATTCATATGAATTTCATCACAGCACGTATATATAGCGAATATCGGAGCCTTTAGTGAATACAGTGTTTGCTTCAGGATTGCGTTGGACGAAGAACGCAAAAAATTGTTGACAGGTTTCCACTATGATGAACGGGATATTCATTTGGACGATCTTTGTCACGATCAAGAGGTTTGCAAGAGCCAGATTTCATTTGAAAGGTCTAAATGGGCATGTCGAAGAGATATTTGGAAAGAATGAGTGTATGAATTGTTGTTTGAGACGTTTATTGTTTGAGTACGTTTCAAGACGATCTTGCGATGGAAAAGTACTTTCGCAGTCAAAAATTTGTTCCATATTCATGGAACTTCTGAGTGTTTTTATGATCGTTTCACAATTAGGAGTAATCAAAGTGTCTCATCAGTTCATTTCAGGCATTAAGTATTGTCGATCTGAGAACAAAAGTAGAGCAGAGCGTATGGACATACTTGACGAAAGTATTTGAGCACGTTTCAAATTCTCGAACAAATGGACCTGATGAGAGTTTATGCAAAAAATTGAGTATTAAAGATGCACCACAAAGAAAAATGATTGACTTCTTCAATGAAAGGTTAGAAACAAAGAGGACCACCTCATTTCACCTAGCTGTTATAATCAATTATCTTTAACATGGGATTTTGCAGTTGCAGTGAATCAGTTCAGGTCGGAGGTAATTTGTGTAGTCTCTCATCTGATGCACGTGGTGCATTAACACATGAGAACATGCCCAGTTTTCTTAGATATTCTCTGCTTTTCAGCCTGAATCTCAGTTGAGTATCTTCCAAGCGGAATGCTAATTTGAATGCCTTCCGGAGCAACATCTCGCAAAAATTAATGCATTGCCATGGAACTCAAATTTGTAGAAAATGAAAATGATTTGCAGATTTGTAACAATGATGCCAGAGAGAAATGCGAAGAGAATTTATCGAAAGATGGCTAAACGATTACAAAAGAATAAAAAAACTCCTCGTGTTATGCTGTTACGATTTGATGATGACAATGCAGATGTATGCTGCGTTTATTACTCAAATGTTGACGAGTAAGTTCAGCATGAGTATCATAAATATTCTCCATTTGATTTCTACCTTTGATGCAAGTTTAAACCTTTCATTTGCATCTTTTCTCGTATCAAATTCCAGATTTTCTTCATTTTCTCGTACCAAATTCCATAATTTTATGATCGATCTATCACTATCGCTTTCGTTTTGATACATTTCACCACCGAAATTTTTCCATCAGTGGTCCACCAAGCTCTGAACCAATGAGCAAGAAACATACTCCAGATAGCGAAATCAGCTGCCAAAATTTGCCTAAGTTTTTATAATCATTCGCTTCCGGCACAATTACCTCAACATGTATGACAAGTATCAGCTTTCGGAGGTTGACTGAAAAGTATTGTAGTTTACATTTGCATTGCACTGCAAATGTGCAGCAACTCTTTGGGAAACGATTTTTTCAGAAAATTTTCGAAAGAGAATTTGCTTCCAGCCAAAAACGTTGCCTTCGAAAGACTCACTCGCCACCATAATTACTCAATTATTGCAGCTATAACCAAGAGCCACTTCAGTCGCATACGCCTTTCCGTGAGATTCTGAATACGAATGGCGGCTTTTGGACTTTTATGAGGTATCCGTTCTCGCGGAAATTCAACTATATTGTTCAAATGTTCTCGGCCGGTAAGTTCTAGCAAAAGTCACTTGTTCAGTTTTAATCAGCACGGTTTCCTCCTATGAACTTAAACATTCTTCAGCAGATTCTATTGCCTGTGAATGTTCCCTGCGATGCAAGTGTACCAACATTCAGTTGTTTCAGACCAATCGCAGCCACTAGTCAGTCATTCCATGGACACAAACATTACAAGTGAAGGAACTGCGATGAGCCAGAATTTACTATTAGGTATCAATGAAGAGATGCATGAAAGGGACTACATGACATCGCCTGGAGCATGGGACTGCATGCCATCTCCTGGAGCATATCCGCCAAACTGCCTCTCAGCCACTCCAACATGTGTGATTGATTACTGTAATGTTGCCGAGTATAGTCAGCCACGACATGCACAGCAAGCACTTACATCTTCTCAAAGGGCACTTCAATCTTCACTACCATGCGTCGACAGAATATCACCCTGTACCACCTCATCAGTATTATCTACAACACCAACACCTATCAATGAAACAGCAACGGATATTCGTATGGAATCGATCAATGTTTATGCTTTCCGTACTGTGCATATTCGAGAAATTTTCAAGGGGATTGAAACGAACGAGAAGCAAGACGAAGTGAGTTTATTGATAGTAGTCGTACTCGGCAGCGTTCAAATGCCGACCTCATCACACTAAACGATTGCTTTCGTTCGTCTCATCCGTATTCACAACGAAAGCAATCTGAACTGAATTGCTAACATAAGTGTTAAATTTCAATCTGCACTGATAATGAGATAAAGAAATACTCATTTCACCATCAGTCAGTACTTTTATAATCATTTCAGATTTTCGCATTCGCTGGTAATTACGAAGTGCACGCAAAAACAGGGCAAAAACGTGAAACGCGAGGTGCTTTTGAGCATTGTGTTTATTCAGTCAGCGTTATTGCAGCACTCCACTGGTGCAAAATCGCTTTTTTTAATGCGCTCACAATCAGTGGCGCTCGCAAAGGGGGACGAAATGAATGCATGCATCTTTCCACCGAAAAAAAAATATCCTGCATATGTCGCTAAATATGATTTTATCTTAACATCAGACTCATTGTGTATGCCTTTAGTATCAGATGATACCTTTTAAGTTTTAACTAGGATTCATTCATCGAAGCAACAAAGTGCAAACTAATCAGCTGGACGCAACCTACACTCACCTTTCCGTTCCCTTTCAACGGCATCAACATTACGTCTGAATCGTTTGGTTCATACTTCATAGTTTCCCATTCCGAACGAAACCTCCATTGGACTGTTGCATAACTTATTTAAAATCACATAACTCACTAATCTCCAATTGATTGAATGTTACTGACAATGAGACAAATAATTGAATGGTGAATACTGATCGATTTCGAACTGGTGTCAGTGAGCATATCAGTTTGAATTTCAGAAATCGAGGATGCCGAGAGTTTGTCTGGATTGTTCAACACATGCTCGGTGAGCACATTTGACGATACGACGAGGATTTGATAGCTTATAGTAGCATTTTGGGGTTGAAGTATCGTGAGAATCGAATGAGTTGAATCGATTGAAGTTTCCTTCCAAATTAATCAGCAAACTGACTTTGACAGGTTCCTCATGGTCTTTTAAGATTTTCGTGAATAAATGATAAGCAGCAACCCTTTGCTCTGAATATCACTAATATTTGAAGGGGGTTATTGACATCCTCTTTAACAGATACTCTTTGTGAAGTCCGCGGGATGTGCTTTCTCAGCTCCTTATTGCTATATCAATGATGCTGAAATTGTGATAACAAACCACTGAGACCATTTCATCTGATAGTAATTGTCGAACTGTTTTATATGAAATGAGTGAAGTGTACATTAGCATATGTGTAATCAGTGATACTTCTGACCCATACCTCTTGATTTTTGTATCTGTTTTGTACTATTACAGTTGTTCGTTTTTCAGTCTGTTCAATTTCTGATAAAAAATCGTTGTACAAGACACGTTTACTACGCTTTACTGAAATTATTCTGTTGTGTAATACCTTGAACTGGTCTTTTCCGTAGTCGCAGCGAATGTGGAATTTATTTGTAATGACAATCGTTAATGTAGCAACTGAAATGCTAGGTGTAGAGGTGTAGTGCACGAAGATTAGTAGTGAAACTGTGGTTATTACTGGTTTAAATAAGATGAGCGAAAACAGTTAGCTCGGTCAATAATTATGATAATAATGAGGATTGACAACAATACGATGCAAGATATGAATATAACAATTATCAGGTAGAGTTTGAATAAATCCTCGAATGGTCGCTGAAGTTACTTTAGTCTTATTAGTAGTCCCGTTTACGGTTCTGATTGTCGATGAACAACGATTCTTCGAACTGAAATGGCGAACTACAACTAGACTGCTGATGCAGGAACAAATCCGAGAATTAGCACAGGGGCCGAGTTTAATAATCCCCTTCCAAATTCGGGACTATAAAACTCGGCCATAGTGCTAGCTCCTGGATTTGGGTAGCAACGAATATAGGAGTAACGGTGAATATTGAGAATAAGTCGTAAACGAAGTCCACAACCAACTTTTGGATTTAGTTGTTGGGATATAATGGAAACGACGAAGGAAACAAGAACACATAATCGAAGAACAAATTGCAGCACAACTCAGAACGGATGAATGCACACAATAATGTAGGAATGAATCAAACAAGCAAGAACGAATCAAGCAACCAATAATATCACACCAAAGATTCTCTCATATTTAAGACTGATATCTTGAAGGCGTGATTTAATGATGTGCAAATAACAAAATAATGACGTGAGAAATAAGGTACAGGAACTGGTGAATAACGGTTCTTTGTGCATGTGTTACAGTCTTCTAGGGTTGACAGATATTTGATAAAAGATATAAAGTCAAAAAATTTGCTCTATTAGCAGCTGTTACAATTTGAAAATAAGGATTGAGATAAAGCTGCTCATCGTAGCGCTGAGTCATACAGCGATATTACATCACGATTAATATAACGATATAAGACGAAATTCATATTAATGTTGCGAGTTCAAGACCATGTGATTCATCTCCCATTTTTCTTTCGCAATATCTGAGGCGACAGTAATATTCTATCTATCCCAGCTTTCGATTCTTCTCAGCCCAAAACTATGACGTTTTCATGAAAATACTTTCAGTTGCTCAGAAATAATCTCAACTCCAAAAGAGCGATATAACATCCATAAAATCGCTGATATATCAAATTCTCAATTTTGACATAATTATGAGTTTGTAGCATATTTCGCAAATTTGATTAGTAGTGTTTTGCAATCTGCAATGCACACTTTTTTTTGTTTTTCTGAAAATTTTCTAATGTGACTCTCATTATAGTCTTATAAAATACCTCCTGTTGTTTCTGTCAAAATGCTCATAGCGAAGAAAATGGTGTTTTTTTTAAAGTTATACAAATATTTCAGGATTCTTCAAAATATTTAGCATACATGCCAGAACAAAAGTGTAGTTTTCAACAGACGTTTCTAACAAATCTGAGTGAAGAATCCATCTTTAAGTAACAATCGTAACCATTCACGGGAAGCTGAAAGAGACCATTGCTTTTACAGCGTAATGCAGTTGAGCCAATTGTTGATGAAACTTTTTGTGACGGTGAAAGGGCACTGGATCGAAAGGCTAAAGGGGCTAATTATATGTTGGGTTTAGAAACCTCTGCTCTACAGTGTGACGCTTGTGAAGAGCAACATTCAGAAAATAAAAAAAAANAAAAAAAAAGAAACAGACATCAATGGAGCATTTTAAATTTCATTTGCATTGCTCAACGTGGCAGTTTTCGGTTGAACGATGCCACTCGTATCCGCGATGAGTGTACATTCAGAAGTGATATTGAATTCATTAATAGGTCGCTTCACTGACTGACTGTCAATCGTTATTTCTTCATCAGGCTTCTTTTCATCGTCCTCACCGCTCGGTCGACGAATGTAATAGCCATAAACCTGTGTAAAATGGTTCTAATCACAACAACGAATGTAAAAAGACATCAGACGTTTACCTACTGCTAGATCTCCAAGTTGACTGCAATAACGTTTCCAAATGTTTTTTCCTTCCTAAGTGCACTGCAAAATTATAACAGAAAACAGTACCAAAAATGCACCTTGTCAAGAGGAAATATTTTAAGTTCTCGTCGAATTTCACGAATCAAATCTGCCAAGTTGCCTCGTTGGTCAAATGGTACTGTTGACGTTGTATCATCATCGCTTGTCTGTACCTTGATATCTAACAGACGACCAGCAGATTTGAATTTCCGATCGAACTCGATTGACTGAAAAGTTATAAGCGACCACGGTCGCAACATTCTATTTCATTTAATGTTATTTTGGAAGCAGTTAGGGCGCTGGATCGTCTCATTGGTAAAATTGTTTCAATGTTTATCTGCTGTTCATTTTCAAATAATTTCGCAGTTCGCAAATAATTTTTATGGATGCAGTGTAAGTTCAGTATCAGAGGGGACATTCTATCGCGGTATGTATTAGATGAAGATCCTTGTAAATGAATCATGTAATAACCGAACCGCAACAGTGTCATCTCTAATAGCATCGTACGTCTGATTTCCAAGCGCAAGATCATTGAAATAACTTGCTCGTTCTGGGAGTAGTGTTTTGAGAGCAACCACTGAATCAACGCAGTAAAACGTATTGCACGTCAGATTAGGACATCTGGGCATCGATCCTAAAACATTCACAATTACTTGCAATACGAATAATTCCTGTATCCATTAATGTGGTGTGAATAAGGTGCACTTAACAATTGGATAATCGTTTCGAAGATGAATTTTTCGAATCGAGAAACTCCGAAGTTAAAACTCAAGCTGAATATTCGCTCTCTTACCACTTCTTTGGCATTCGTCAATCATTTCATCGAGGCACTGTAAACACATTTCGTGATCGCATTCGCCACGAGATGGAAATCCATTGAGTATTGTTCCCTGGCAATTCTCTTTTCCTTTACATGTTACTGGCTGAAAATTACAACACCCATAAGGAGCAGATTATCTTCAGTTATTATTTCAATCTTATCAGATCATATGTACCATTTTAGCTCAGAGTTCAGACGATATCCCAATCAAATAGTTTCATTTAAGTTGAAATAACCAAACAAGCCTTTCGTCCTATTGCTGTTTTATTACTATGCACTTACTTGATCCGCTGCTTCTGGTGGCGGCAATCTCGACTTCTTCAAGATGCATGCATTGGGACATTTCAGGTCCTCCTCTGAAATTTACCACTATTTAGTCTTCGTTCATAGAGTATTTGCGTGTTGGGTGACTAAGGTCTACCAGAATTGCTCGTTTGATTTCCTTGAACTTATTGCAGACAAACGCTATGACTTGTACCCGAAACAGTCTGCCAGCAATCCACCAAATATTCCTTCAAAAAGTTACCTTTCGTTATCGTTCTACCAAAAATCTTCTCAGCACATGTGAAACACAGATGTGCGCCACAACATTTTGTCGTAACGAATTTACTCTCATCATTGAACGCCTGCTTACAAGGACCATCGCAAGTGTCAACATCATCAGCCACATCAGTCAACGGCTCGTTGCACTTTTCTACTGGGCAAACTGCAAAACAATCTTTAAATTCTCGTAAACATCCAGCAAAGCAATCGCAACACCTAAATTTGGTGAGTTCGTCACTCTAAGACCTTTCACAGAGGAGATCGAATAGGATTATTCAAGAAAATCTAAGCGATATTTGTTCAGATTATCTTTCGTTCATCCAAAAAGGCACTTGGGTTCAACGAGATAAGTCCTGAATCATTTTCACGTCTACCTGGTTGCTGTGCTTTGCGCGCATCTTCTAGGCAAGTCGTACACAGTTCATGCCCACAAGAAAGCCTTTCGAGAATGATGAACGAAAGCCTTCTGAAAACGTTCGGCTGTTAGCGATTTCACCTTATCTCAGATTTTTCTCTGATACTGTAGTTTTCGTCTTGAATAATACTATGGGAAAGTGAAATGGAATGAAGTGTGAATGAGTGCAAAAACTATTTGCGGAGAAGAGATTCAGAAAAGCGAAAGAGGTTATATGTAAAAGATATGAAATGTAAAACATCTGATCATCAATCATTTAAATCGATTTTCCTGCCTTTGACACAATTCGTTATCGCATCGGCTCAAATCCAGTTTTCGATCAAATGTTTGGTTCAACAATGAAAAGCAATCCACATCTGGACACAACTTCAAAATCACAATCTTATTATCGCTTACTCATAGCATTTAATGCTTATTTCAGCAGAAATTCACTCGCATTCTAATTTCAATTTTTTTTTTCTGAATCAAGCAGTCGTATTTTAGGAATTGAAAAAAATGCGGCATCGATGTCATAACAAATTACTTGCAACAAACATCGAACATCGTTGCAATGTCATATTCGAGAAACATTAATTGATCAAGTTCAGCATTTATCAACAATAAGTGAATCGAAATGTGGCAATCACTATTTCATGCAAAATCTCAAACACCGATTTCTGATCGAATTTCAGTTCGAAACAATCATTTCTCACTCAAATTGCACTCACAGTCAATATAAAAATCATGAACGCACCAAATGCGTTTTTTTGTCAGTCGCGTTTTCCTTACGTGGTGCATTTTCAGTCGCGTTTTCCTTACGTGGTGCATTTTCAGTCGCGTTTTCCTTACGTGGTGCATTTTCAGTCGTCGAATCGGAGTACGTCTTCAACAAGCATTTACTTTTTTTTGAATTAAAGTCATTCAAACATAACCGCAAATAAAGAAATGTTTGATGGAAAGGAACAATGTAGAAAATGCAATGAATTTCTATGCAAAAGGAACAACGCCAAATAGAAGACGGTAATATCCAAGTTGCAGCGAAAAAAATCGGGATGGAGATGACTTGAACCTTGCATGAATTTTTATATTTTGAAATGCACTCTGCACAGAACATATGAAGGCACGGCAGAATCTGGAGCATTTCATCAGCGCACTTGTATTGCAAACAAATACGACACCAACATTTCACAATGTCACCGCAGCTCGATGACATTCTAGAAATCAACAATGAGAAAGCGTTAACAGCAGGACTGAGCATATTGAAAAATTCGCATTTTATGTGGAAATTTTTCGAAATGAGGATAGCTATAACAAACAAAAATTTCCATATGACAATGACAATTTGAAGTGGCTCACAAACACTCGTAAAAACTTCAGTCAACTGAAACACCCGGTTCTGACGGTATCACTTTCAGCAATGCTTCGCATTCTTGCACTGTTCAGATCGTTCGTCAACATTTGCTTCGACCAGCGAAGCGTCAGGGCAAAATTCTCGAGCCAAGAAATCATTCACTGATCCTTGANATGGTTACGAGTAATGGAGTTCTAATACGCACAAGTTACTGACAATGAGAGACTCGAAATTGAAATTAGAGACTCAAAAGAGAGACTCAAAACAAGCAATGAAAAAATTTAAATTATTAACAACTGCAAGAAATTTTTGTTCCATTTACAAACCATGGGAGGAATAATTTCCATGAAATGCAAAATGTTTACGACGTGCTTGTTATAAAAGCGCGAACTGCTACCGATAACTTCACTGTTTTCATAACTGACTTTGGAGGTGGGCGGTTTTATTAGGAGACTGATTGCAGATATTCGTTGCTCGATTACTGTGGAATGGAGAACGTCAATCAACTTATTACTCAATACAAGGCAGAAATAGAGGACTTCAAAAAGGACACGCTCGCATTCGGTGAGAAGATTTCGGCTAAGGTTGGCAGTTGCGAAAGTTCGGATGGTCATTATTTGTATTGAAGTGTATTGAATTGAAGTATTTTGACGAGTATTGAATCACAGCAACATCGATTCGTCAAATTTGTGTTTGGACAGTGCTGATTAANCTTCGGACAGGAAATGAAATTATGGAACGGTTTGCAGGTGAAAGAATACCAGGCCAAGTTGAACGAAATGCAGCCGGTAATAAACGAGCGGAAAGACGAGATGATTGCAATGATAAAAGATCAATCAGCATTATCTGATATCGACAACTCGAAATTGAGTGCTGTGTTCGTATGGGCCGGTGTAATGCTGTTCGCAATGAGTGTTGCCTTTATTCTCAGCAAATGCATTCTCAGCTCTATAATTGGATTGTTTGTTACCAAGTTTTATGGTATAATTCTAGCATACACGATTATGCCAGCTCTGGCGTATTACTACATAACGACGCCAATCGAGGGCGATGCTAATTTAGTGGACCGATTGCGTCGTTTCCGTCTGTTGGGTGTCGCTCTAGCTGAAGGTGCACTTAACGGATTCCTCCTCTGTGAAAGAGCCATACCAGGCGTGCCTCCACCGGCCTCATTATGTGCTTTCTCAGTCGGACTAATGCCAGTGCTCGCCTCATCAACAATCGGAAATGATCGAATGAAACTAATCGGAGTTACTGTCGGTGGTGCATTCGTTATGGATTTGGCTATAGGATGTGTAACAGGACTGTCCGCTGGATTCTTGGTGCTCTGTGTACTTTATTCAGCTGCTGGTTTTGTGATACTACAAATCTATCTGAAGAAAGGAAAAGCTGAAGCGGTAAACTTTTGAAATGAGAGTCTTCTGAGATTCCGTTCATTTTAAGAACTGCAAAGCAGTTTTCCTGTCTCATTCGATTTTGATATGACTGTTGACCACTGGGTCGCGGCACTATCGGTGTAAACGATAGTTACAAAAATTTTAGTACACTCTCTGAATTCATTCATCAGTTGTACTGTACATTATGCGATCAGTATGATTTCGAAGATTGGGCGAACCATACAACACGATTCAGTGTGAAAAAACGTAAACATAATGATATATTTACAAGACCTTAAGAGCTGACTTTCATAAAATTTGATTGCGATCTAATGAGAATTTTGGTAAATTTCAAGAGTTCAT